ATAAATATAAAAAATTAATTTTAACTTAGATTTTATTCATTTAGCTATAAAATTTCATTTATTATATTTTTCAAATTAGATTTATTAAATCATAAACTGAAATTAACTTACAAATTATAATACTGAAAAAAAATTTTCCTAAACATTTAAAAGTTATGTTAATGTATAAAATTGTTAATTGAGTTAATAAATAAGTTATTAGTAATTATCAATACAGCAATATTCTTTATAATATTTTATAATTTCAATAGAAAGAGTATTCAATAGATTTGATTAAGAAATTAGAAAATAGTGATATTATTCAAATATATCGAATGATTTTAAATGAAGCTTAGATATTATAATATTAAAGAATATCAGTATTAAATATTGAATTACTCAGAATGTATAATTATTTATATAGTGATTTGATAAAAATAATTATTTTTATTCTAATGTCTTCTTTGTTTCAGGAAGTATCACTTAGAAAAGTTATTGCAGATAAGGCATAAGTAACAGTAACTTTATTAGATAGAAAATAGCGGTTCTTGTAATGATGTTAAAGGACATATAAAAAGAAGAGGAGGAAATTTTGAAATAATTTAACAAAATGACTAAAGATGCTCGAACGATCAATGAATTGTATGAGATTACGGAAATGATTAACTATGAGATGAGTGTTAGGAATGACGACAAAATGATGATCCTAGATGAAATAGTTCATCAGGAAGAGCAACTGTAAGTAGTTGAATATATTTCAGGCTGACTGAGTAGGCGAGTTTATAGAAGCAAATCAATAGTATATCAAAAGATTTAGAGACATCAGAGAAGTTTCAATAGACACGTTCTCTACGTCAAACTGGAAGATTCATGTAGTTAATCATAACAATCATAATATGAATGTAGAGACTAAAAGTGTTTAATCAAACATAATTACAAGTTATGATTTTGAGAAGAATAGTTATGTTGATGATTTGATTTGAGTATAATCAAAGTTGAATGATAAAATTCAAGATAATATATTTAATGATCCAATTAAATATGATACACAAGAAGGAATTGATGAAACTCAAGTTTATGATTGGATTCTTGATATAGACCTCATAAATAATGTATAACAAGGTTGGACAGTCTATATAAGCAAATAATTCTAAGCAAATAAAGAATTGGTAGATTAGCAAATAACGATAAAAAAACTTAAATCAAATGGGAAGGAGCTGCAGTTGACGTTGTAGGATTGTATGATAAAGGTAAAACCTTTGTATTGAATAATCTTACTTAATCTAATTTACCATCAGGAAAAAAAAGTGACTATAAAAGGAATTTCTTTTAAACATGTGGATGTTGACTCTGGTACTTAATTAATTTTGATTGATACTGCTGGAAGTGATTCTCCAGTTAAAATTTAATCAGCAATGAGTATTGTTGAAAAAGAATTAACTGAACATATCATCATAGATTTTAGTTTTTGAATTAAGCGATTATTTCATTTGTGTTGTAAATGATTTCACTTCTCTTGATTAAAGATATCTAGATAGATTATCTAGATACATATAAAATAGTTCAAAAAACATTCAGAGAAATAATTGTGGTTCATAATTTAAAAGAAGTTGAAACTGCTGAAATCTTATAACATGTTTGGACAACCTAAGTTACATAAATTTATTCTACAGGAGGTTCAATCTAAAGGACCAAGGTTGTTGCAATTAATCCAAGAAAAATGAATTTTGCAAGAAAAACATGTTTTATGGTTTAAAACATAATATACAAGACATGTTTGTTTAGTTAGTGATGATAGCCATATTAGGTTTAGATGGAAATCCTTGGGTATTTTCATTATTAAAATATTGGTTAAAAGCAGTTTTTGTTCCTGTTAATAGATAGTTTTCTGTCTGTGAAAATATCCTTTTATACGCAACTAGTAAACTTACTCAATATTTTAAAGAGAAGTCAATATAAAATTAATAGACACTGATAATACATTTGTTAAAAAAATTGTTTAAATGGAGGCTGACTTATAGGATGGAGAGTTAAAGATCCCTTAAACAAATATAGATTAATCTGGTTTGATATTAGCAAGACCTGATTCATTTACTCCTGCTACTGATATTATTGCTAATGATAAGTACATTATTTATATGGATGTTTCAGGAATTAGAGAAGAAGATATCTAAATGTATAGATAAAATGTAGTTACAATTGTTAAGGGAAATAGAAAAAAACCTTATCCAGAAGAATAAAGTGATCATATTAAGAAATAAGAGAGAAAATATTGAGAATTAACACTAAGTTTTAGGATTCCTGAAAATTTTGAAAGAAAATGGAAATATTTTGGTATTGAAAATGGAGTTTTGAATATTGTTTATGAAAAAGACAAAGATGATATAATTCCAAATAAATTTGTTAATTAAGCAGCATGAATTAATATTTTTTTTAGATATTCTGGTTTATTTATAATATAAATAAGTTTTTGTCTATAAAAATATAATTATAATAATGATGTAATAATTCTAATAATAAGAAGAACCTGACTTTTTTGTTTGTACTTGTGGATTTTCTTGTCATTACAAAAGTGAAAAGGAAATGGAAATGCATATCGATTCTTGTCCTGTTTATAGTGCATACAGTGAATTTATGAAGTATATTGAGAGAAAGGATATTTAAAATGCTAATATAGATTAACTTAGAGTTATGAGGGCTGAGGCAAAAGTATATGTATCTAGATTAGATATGATGTTAATGATTTGTAAATTTCAATTTAACCAAAAAAGATTAGCAATAATAATAACCAATTTTATAGAAGATTCCATCATAAACAGTACAATGTGAGAAATGTCATAAATAATTTGAAGAAAATTCAGATTTTGATAAAGTTTGGTATTTAGAAAATTGTTCACATATAATTTGCAAAGTTTGTATGTTAATAATTTGCAAAGAAGATTTTTTGACTATGAAAAGTAATGTAACATGTGTTTGTGGAAAGAGATTTTCTGATGCAGAGATAAAATAGGTCTTAGGAAATGAATAATATGAATAATTAACTGAGAAACTAAATTTATCACTTTAAAATATTATTGAATGCTTTAATTGCAAAGAGAGATTCTCTTTTTAGAAAGGAAATATCAATGAGAAAATTTAAGATTAAAATGGGAAATTAGTATAAGGAGAATAATTATTACATTATATTGAGAATAGATTTAAATGTTCTAATTGTCATACAGAATAATGTAAAAATTGTATGAGTGTGCCTTATCATACAAATATGACTTGTGAATAATATAAAATAAATAAAGCTGCTGTAAAATGCAGATTATGTGATTAGCCAACTAAAATATAAAAAAATCAACCTGAAGCATTATAAACAATATGTGAATAATAAGAATGTTAAACTAGATCTAAAAATTTATGTACAAATAAATTAAAATGTGGTCATTTTTGTTAAGGATTAAAGAATACTCCTTGTTTACCTTGTTTAAATGAAAAATGTGCTTAAGATTAAAATGAAGATGATTATTGTAATATTTGTTTTACAGAAGGATTAAAAACATAACCATGTGTTAAGACAACATGTGGACATGTATAATAACAATTTAATAAATTAATTAGATATTCCATGAAGATTGTTTAAAATAAAAGTTATATGCTAAATGGAATGGTCCAAGAATAGTTTTTAATTTTATGAAATGTCCTTTATGCAATAAATTTTTAGATGTAAAGGTACCTCATTTCTAAAAATCAATTGAAGAAGGATAAGCACTATTAAAAGAAGTTCAAGAATTGTGTTTACAGAGATTAAAACTTGAAGAAAAAGAGAAAGACAAAGAACTAATAGATCCAACACATTAATTTTTCTAAAAACCTTTAGATTATGCAATGCATATCTATTGTTATTATTTATGTTTTAAATGTAAAAAACCCTATTTTGGAGGATTAAAAAATTGTTAATAGGCAGCTGATNTTAGTATGTTCTTATCCTTTATAATTATTAAATGTAGAAATTATTATCTGGTTGTTTCTAAACCAAATCATTATATTATTACAAAACTTATCTTACATCCTATAAATCTTCGTCTAAGTCTTTTACCTTGAATATTGGATAATCTTTTGCCTAAATATAGATTTAATTAATCTATTCTGCATCAGGCTTGTTCTCTAAATATTTATAGAAAGATTTATAAGATTATAAATTGTTGATCTATTCTTTACTTTTTACCCACAAAAATCTTTATTCTTAATATTCCTTCAGTTTTCTACTTAAATCATCCATTATAAAGAGATGTTCCTTCAATTTCAATAAAAGAATATTTTTAGAATCTATATTTGCATAAGTTGCACAGGAAATTAAAGTCTTGTAAGCCTAAGGATTGGCCTTAGCTTCTACAAACTCTTCAGCCTTTTAAATCCAAATCATTTATATATAATATTGCCATAACTTAGTTTATAAATTATTATCTTAATATTGGTTCTTAGTTATTAACTTAATAAGTTGAATGAAATTAGGAGTTACTTAGCCAGATAATTGGTTTTCAAACTCTTGTAAATTGATTAACCAATTTTCATATTCCTTCTTAATTTTTTATAGTTATTAGCAATAAAATGGATCTTAGATATCAGAATCAGCATTCAACAAATTAATTATTTAACTAATATTGTATTTTCTATTTCCTCCTTAGATTATAGTAACATTTGATTAATCTAATATTTATTAACATTCACATCTCCATTTCATTTATCTAAAATTCAATACTACTTATTTCAATTCATCGTCAACTACTTTCGAAATTGTAGCTTTGTAAAGTAATTCATTATTGAAATCTATTAATCTGAGATATCTTTTACTTTCTATATCATTTTTGGTAATTAATCATATTAATTGTATACCAAATAATATAATTACTTAACAAAATCAATCTACTATTCTGTTGATTTTATCTATGTGTCCAATTCGAGAGATTTTAATTTCTTGAATTCTTCCAAATTATCATTTAAACTTGGTTAAATGTTTTATATGATCTCTTATGCTTAAAGTAATTGTTATCTTCTTTATTCAACATCCATATCAAATCCAAGTTAAAAGCATTCATGTTCAATTTCTTCTAATTATTCTAAAGTTATTGATTCATTTAACTTTTTGTAGAGTTCTCTTTCAAGTATTTTATCTTTTAAGTTTCAACATAAGGTAGTGGTCAATAAACACTTTTACATTAGATCTAATATTTCATGACAAAATTAAATAGTTACTTTTTTTAAGTTTAACATTTCTAATGTATTTCTTACAACTAATTATATACACTTCTAATTACAATAGAAACCTTATTTATAATTAATTAGTTAAAACATCACTATTAACAGGAAATTCAATAATTTTCTTAAAAGCATTCTAACTATTTTCTTATTCCAAAGAATTCAATTCATCTAATAATTTATCAATTAGTTTGAGACATCCCAAAGTAACATTATTATGATTTGCGATTCTTTTTAATTCTATCAATTTTTTTTTTTTTGGTTTATTTTTTTGATTTTTAATTAATATCATTTATTTATAAACAGTAAGATCAAGTTAATTATCAATAGCAGGATATTCAATTTACATTCTTTCAACTTCAAACAAAGATCGCAAATTAGTTTTTATTTATTAAGCTACTTTATATCTATTTATAAGTTATCCTAAATTATCATTTGGAGATTTAAATATTTTCTGACTATCTGTAATATTTTCATTGAGAATTTTGAAAGTATCTTCCATTAAATAACCTTCAGAAATTCCCTTATATATTTAAGGTTTAATATCTTTTCTTGAAAGAACAATAGATTTTATAAGTTTATTATCTCCTACTTCAAAATAATATCCTTTGAATTTAAAAGATTTAACTAATTTTTCTGTAAATTATTCACTCTATTCTAATTATGAAGGTATAATAGATTGCATTTTTTACTTCAATTCTTCCAAAAGCTTTTCTTTCAATAATATCTTATCTATTTCTATAATCATTTTCATCTAAAGGGATAGAAGATAATCGCTTCATTATTATCTCAATATATAAAAACAAAGGGAGTAAATCTATCAAATGTCAAATATAGACACTCTTAGGAACAACCAAATCTTCAAAATTAAGTAGTTTTGGATCATCTAAATCTATTTTTGCTCTTTTTGTACTCCAACCTTTACAAGCTTCGCAAACATAAGTATCATCCTTTACATTCTTACGTTTCATACATCCCAAATGATACCATTCATAACAATGATCACATTATACCATTTGTTTATTATTCATTAATTTACGACAAATACAAAATAATCTATGACTTTCCATATGTACTTAACAATAACTTTCTATCTTGTTTTGACATGACCATTGTTAATTACATTAAGGTAAAGAATAATTATCAAAGATACAATTTATTGTGTTTTTTACATGTTCCTTATATTATTGTGTCTGATTTCCTCTTTTCTTTTATTTATCTTAGAATTTACCTATTGCAGTATAAAATGCGTCTTAAATCTCTTTTAATTCGCATTTAATCTCACATGACTCAACATCTAATTGATTTGGATCTTAATTATTTGCTTAAAACTTTAAATGGAATATCCACTATTCTGTTTCAATATCTTCTTATGCTTTTTCTACTTATTCTGCAAGGTGCAAAAATAGCACATGATACATGTACATATACTCCACTCTAATCTGAAAGTCGTTTTAGTAAACCTTTTTATCCACAGATACAACATAATGGTTTCTTTGCTATGTCTTAGCAAGGATCACAAACTCCATCGAAATTATTGTATCCATAACAGAATCGATGATATTTCAATTTACATTATTAACATTCCATTTATTGACATCCTTTATCTTTCCTCTCAAACAGCGCAATTCATTTTTATTAATATTACTAACGATTAAAAATATGGGCATTTGTATATCATCTAATCAATCCTTTACACCTTTACTTATTTCTAATATCTAATATACGTTATTTTCTATTTTTAAATATATCTCTAATTATCAATTATTTTTGTAATTAAATATTCGAATTTAAATTTAAATTCTGATTCTCTTTTATCCTATATATAAATTAAATACATTGATTAAAAATAAATCTATTCTTTATTTCTAATAGATTTTTAATTAATAATTTATTAAGTACAACTAATTTGATTCAGATTTGGTAAGTTTGTACATAAATTAATATTTGATTTAGAAGTGAATAATATATCCAAAAATTTAACAATCCTTATTAAATATTTATTAGAGCTCAAAGTAATTTGATATAATTAAATCTTAGATTATAATCAACTTTCCTTTTAAGAAAACAACTTTAGGCTTAATCGCAAATTAATTAACTATCATAATAAATCTATTTTAAATCTAAACAAATTGAAATTGATAGAGTACAAGTAAAAATTTAATTAAACATGATTTGACTTAATTGAAAACTTATTACTTTTATTTTTTATAAATATTTATTCTATCAAAAAATAATAGATTTTTTTTTTATCTTTAATAAGATTAGAAGATCGATATTAATAAAACCCTTTTATAAATATCTAGCTCTTCAATAAGATATTCTGTTATAAGCTTTTATTGGTTTTATTTACATATTCGTGTTTACCCACTTTATATTAGAATATAAACAAGCTTAACTTATCAAAATTCTTTCATCTATATATCTACTATATTTATATATTAGGATTCTGGAAATTCTTGTTTTTTATATTAGTTTTATTCTATCATCTTTAGATAAAGCACCATTTAAATTATTCTTGGTAACTATATAATAATTTATTAAAAATATGTATTACAATTGCTAAAATCAATTATTAAATTTATTTGTTTTTATCAAAAATAGATCTTATTTTCATATGGTAATCAAATAATTTAAAATTAGATTTGATAGTTTAATAACAGGATATACAAGTCTAAATATTTAGGGAAATTTGATAAAAATCTAATAATTATGATTAGTTATAAGTTTTGAATTTACATTGATCAATATAATTTCCTTTAACAATAAAGTAGATCTTATCTTAGAGTCTAATAATTTATCAAGTTTGTTTTAAATTATAATTTATAATGCTTTTGATTAAACATTAAATTTAATTTATCTTGTTAGATTCAAAAATAATAAGAGAGAACCAAAATTATTTAATGATATTTATTAATATACAAAATCATATATATTTATACAATATTTGGAGAGATTATGTTTTCTCCAACTTATCTATCCACTTTTTATTTTTCTTTATATCTTAGAGAACTTATTCTTTTAAATTTGTATTTTCTATTAAAGCCAATAATAAATAGATTGCTTTACAGATAAGAGTAACTTTCAAATTTGATATCAAAAGACCTTTTATTTTTTAACAATAATTATCAATAAGTTCTTTGAATTAATTTTCCTAAATTAATTAATTTTATTATTACAGCTATTTATTATTATTAAATTAAGCATTTTGCAATTCTTTATGCTTCAGGTTGTGTCAATATCCAATAATTTCCATTCTATTCAACTTCTCTGCTGAAAATAGTGTCAACCTTAAAATAAAGTAATTATTAAATTTAAGTTTAAATAAAATCCAAAGCATTAATTTAAGAATACTTAATTATATATTAAATAAAGTAACAAAGGAATTAATTGATAACTTTCAATTAATATATTAGTTTCACTTTATGATAAAGAATTTAAGATTGATTTAAAACAATAATCTTAAAGTTCTTTAATTCTTATTTCATCATCTTTTAAACTAATTGTATTTAGTAAACCAATATTATCAAATTTTATATCATCTCTAAGTTTAGGTTAATAAATAGATTAGATTATTTTAAAGACGTGAATAGAATTTAACCATTCAGGTAATATGTCTTTTAACTTATTTAGTATCATCATAAGTAAATGTGACTTTTTATAAAGATAAATAAAATTAAGAATTTCTATGTAAATGTTCTTAAGATTAGTACATATAAGTCTATATGTTCTTTAAAAAGTTTTTTCTTTCTTTTTCATCAGTAACATTTAAAATTGCACAAAAGATCTAAAATTATAATCTTAATAAATACTGAAATGCCATCTTTATGTCTAAGATAATCAAGATTTTCTAATTATTAAAAATATTCAATAACTTTTTATCTCTCTTCAGGTACTAATTTAGGTAATGCCACTTTTAAAATTTGTAAACTTAATAAATGATTATGAATTCCTTTTTCAATAATTTTCATAGCTAAATTATCAATTTTTTCACTATGATTATAAAAAAGTTCTTTAACTTTATTTATTTATTGAGTAGTAGCTTCTCTTGTTAGAAATCTATCTAAAACAATAATTGCATCTCCTTATGCTACATAATGATTAACATTTTTGAATAAAATTTCAAAAAATTAATTTCTAAATTCAGGAAGTATATTTCTAACCATTGTTATTCCAATATAATGTCCATATTTAGATTATAATAGTTCTCCAAATTGTTTATCATTCAATAATTTTGAAAATATTTATTTTCTTACATTTTGATCTGCACATTTAATTACTAATTAAATTGTTCTACCTCCAATTTTAGTTTAGGCAATCTAATATAAAATGCCTTCAATTTTAGAATAAACTTCTTCTGCCTTTTATTACTTTTATTCATTCTCTTGATTTCTATGTTGAATTAAGAATCTAATATCCTCTTTTAAAAATGAAATGAAATCAACATCTTTGCTTATTTTATTCTAATATTTAGCAATCTTCTTTTATTTTTTATTTTCTGCTTTCACTTTCACCTCTTAGAGTTCTTCTGGCTCTTCATTTTAATTTTCTTCTATAATTCTCTTTTTTCCCCATATATTAATTTTATAATTTTTATTTAAAACATCTATTTGAACTATTTAAAAATTTTAATTTGACAAACACATTCTTCTTAAATCAGTTTTTATATATATATCTCTTTAAACAGTTAATAAATTCATATATGAAAATTTATGATTAAGAATTTTCCATTTGATTTCTAAATAACAGTTTTACAAATTTAATTATCATTTAAATGGCAACTTTGATATAAAAAATTACTTATTATATTTTTTATTTAATGGCAAAATTATCATTCTTAGACTCTCCTTATGCAAAGGCATTTTATCTTATTCAAGAATTTTAGAAACATGAATACATAAGTTAAAGTGAAAAATCTCATATTAAAGGTTAAACTATTTATAATATTTTTAGACTTAATAATATAAAATGACACTTCAGTCTACAATTTAATATATTCGAAAAATGATTAAGATCTTAAAGAAAATCTAATAAAATTAATTACAACAATAAGATCGTAAATAGAATAATAATCTGAAGAAGATGATGTTTCAACTAGTAAGAGTCTTAAACTCTTTCTAAGAAAGAAATTAAGGTTAAATTTAAATAAAAAATGAAATATATATTGTTTACATTCTCATTTCAACCTCATGGTTACAAATTTTTTGACAACATCTGATTACTGTAAGTTTTATATAATTCCGTCAATTAATTAATTGGGTCAATTAGACCTGTAAATTGAGATTATATTGGAATTTATAAATTCAGCAATTATTATTGTTATAGAATTCCTAAATAAGGATTTACAAAATTGATTCTTGGAAACTAATTTTATGGATACGACATTTGAATTCTGTCAAATTTAGGTTATTTATATTATAATGTTATGAAATTATCTGGTATGGTTGGCATATTATTTTATTGACAAGCAAAACCATTCTGTTATTATGAAAGGAATTAAGGATTAAAACTAAATGGGTTTATTTATGTAGTTGGAATCAAGTTGATCTAAGGAATTATTTATTAATTAATTGAAGAATTATTATTATTACAATTATCACATTTTAATTAATTTTCTTCCTTTATATTTATAAATTA